GTGATCTGGGCCCCAGGTTCGAGCATTTGAATATGAAGACGCATCTAAAGTGAACAATTAAATTTTTGCATATCTACATGTTCCCACTCTGAATCTACATAACATCAACTTAGCAGTAAGTCTGCGCTGCGGCTTTAATGCATCGGCGCTCTTGATCGCTTGGTGGCTCACTGTAGATGACATAGTATAGTAAACTGATTTCGTCCATATTAAAAATAATGGGATCTAGAGAGATAAATCACACAACCAATTGTAACTTTTAATCATCAAACGAGTTTTTGAACTGTGGATGTTGATCAAGGACCGATACACAAATTTGAAATTCCGTACGGTGCTTATTCTTCGTTTCCTCGCGTACGAGGTTACCTGAATAGAAGGCTTATCTGTTGTCTCATGTATTCCATATTCCGAGCGTTAGACTATAAAATGTACGCATGCTGTAGCATATAATCCCCGGTACACGCTGTATTCCTACTGTTTTTCAGTGGCTTCCGACCTAGATATTTCCTCAATCGACAGTGAGTCATCCTTATTTCTTCCTGCATTTGCAACTTACTCAATGAATCCCAATTCAAGTGTGAGACTATCATATCGTGCGTACACTAGTTAATACTCCATGAAAATCCTGATTACCGTGCAAGAAAAGTGCTCTCATTTTAGTAAAATATATATTGGGATATGCCGATAGGATAAATGCACAAGGCTCCAGTGCAACAAGTCATTTTACATTTCCAGTTGCTACATATGACTTAAGTGCTCAGTTCTACCAACAATATGGTGTACTAAGTCAATACAAATAGAGTCACCGGATCAAGAATTACAATCGGGTTACGAAATATCCGTTTTTGCAACTGGAATTGCGTCCTCGCATGCTTCTCGCCAGGTTTAAATTTGAGACTTGTGAGCGATGTGCATTGTTTATTGGGTTTTACAGACATTGAACGGATATGGTAAGACAACATTTATTTCTTTGCGAAACGGAATTCACTGGAACACTGGAACAATGGTATAATGCAGATAAAAAAGCCAAACATTGTAAAATCCCATGGGATGGTTTGTGAAAATAAAGTTGATTAAACGAAGTTACACAAAAGTGAAAAACACATCTGCGGAATCATCATATTATCCGCGTTAACACAGGTATATCCGGCTATCCGATTTCGTGGGGTTGTTATGCACAATGTTTGTCTGCTTCTTGTCGTCATCCAATGAATAGAAATCAGCTCGAGAAATGTAGGTGGTGTAAATCACGGTCAAGTCGTATATTAAAAATGGGTATCAGGCGACGCAAATTGACAGAAGTCGAGGGAGCGTTCTACGGTTGACAAACTCTAATGGATAGGTAATTCCGGCGGCATTCAAGCCGACTGTTTTGTGTGGAATACTGCAATGTATGACTACTGATTTCCGATTTGTAGCTTACCTTCAAAGTTTTCGGCAAGCGTTGGCAGCGTCTTTAAAATCTGGAACGCCGGGATGAGGTAACCCCGCAGACGGCCATATCTTCCACTCTACACTCCTATCGCATTCAGTTGCCTAGGTTATTGCAAGTGAGACAAATCGTCCACATTTTTCATTGCTAGCCGCTGTAAGGTCTCCAGTGCAACCAGGTCGCGTTTTAACCAGGGTTGCATAGTCTGTATTGCTTATGTAAATGGGGCCTCACATACGCAGTGAGCCATTGGGGGAAAATGGAAGGATTGAACCTCTCGTACGACCTCCGTAACAGACCAACATGTTGGTTCGCAGTTGTAGACGCCTTCAAGGACTGCGCCGTACAGCTGAGGTCGTCTTGGATTACCACCCCAAGGTCTCGATCTTGTGAGACTGCATTCAGCATATTTTCTCCAAGCTTATCTACGTACATACGCTTGTAGCGGACATGCACGGTTTTGCGCTTGTCCGTGTAAAACGGTAGTAGATTAACCTTGACCATTCAAAAGCGCAGTCGAAGTCTAGTTGCAATACGTCATGATCTGCCTGACAGTCGATTATCTTCCACATCTTGATGTCATCGGTAAAGGTAAGGATATCTGGCTTGCTGAAATAGACAAGGTTATTATTGAAGAAAAAAAGTAACCGCGACCGTGAGACCGACCCATGTTAAACAACACAGTCCACTCCAATTGGATAAGCAAATGAATCTGGAACGCAAACAAGCAGGCGCGGCTGAAATAGGAAGATTCCGAACCATGCCGAGTGTTTCTAACTACCTATGCTTGCAGACTTTATCGAAGGATGCAGGGATCTATGCGGTCGAATGCTTTGGAAAAATGTATGGTAAATCCAAAACGTCTGGTCTATCTACTCTGTTAATATGGGACAACTGGTCTCACCCTCCGGTGTGAGGTAGAGCCCACCAGATTGCTAAATGTTCACCACTTTCTGGAGGCAATTCATGTCAGTACAGAAGATTTTGTTAAAGCACAACGTTTCCTCTAGACACTGCTGGTGTACTAATTTGTCCTCACGCACAAGTGTGTTACAGTGATTACGATACACAACATAGTTACTCCACTTGTAAGGGCTAGGTTTCGCTCTATGCACGTGTTACGCAGCGTATCTTATTGTCATAAATTTTCAGGTTCTACTACGAATAAATGATTGTGCCCTTTTATAACGAAAGGGGTTTCTTGACCGAAGTAGATTTAATCAGACAAATTAACTTGCCAGTAAAATGCAACAAAGCAATGTCAATGGAACAGTCGTTTGGAAACTCCCATGCGGCCTCTCCCACAGGTTCCGCCATTATGTCGTAGTGGGCGATTGTTCGAAACAAGTTCGAATGTTCTTGCAGATACTCCGCAAAACACACGAAGTCGTAAGTTTTGGCTACCTGGTCACTTCATCCCAAAGGGCTTTCCAGCCTTGGTTTTTTAACCGTGAGCTCTTTGTTCTTGAGCACTAAATCTAGCACGTTTATTTCAATTCCGGCTCTGAATCACGAAGGTGAAATGACATAGCTGAAGTGCGGAAATCTCAAAATATACCCTTACCGGTCAGACTTAAACTGTTGACTGGGGATACCGGAACTTCCAAATCATGAAGATTGAAGTCACCGGAGATGAGAACATGGCTCTATCGTCCTCGTAGGACCGCTTCCAAGGATAATGCTAAGCGGGAGTTTATCACTGAGGTGGACATTGGGGGACGATTAACAACGGCTAAAAGGTAAGTGTCGTTTCGTCTCAGTCGCAGATTGCACCAGAGTTAGTCCGTGATCAGTCTTCCCGGATCAGCAACCGGTTCCTACTGCAGTTAATTGAACTAGTGTAACATTAACTTCGTCCTTTGCTAGATCCATCGTTTCGGAAAGGGGACATACTATTTATCGCGACTTTGACGTCGGTAACATCTGAGTGCAACCAGGTTTCCGTAAGTATTATGTGGTCCCAGGCATGTGCCGCTTGACGTAGCCGCAGTTCGAAAAGCTTGTTCAGGAGCCCTTGCCCACCAGTGTACATGCAAAAACGTTGCTCTGTTTTTAGCAATGAATTGTAGGATAAGTGTTTTGGATAAAATGTTTCGCCGACCGGTAAAATGTCGGCAACTATTCATTTTTTGTTGGGGGATGAAGAAATTATCTGTGTCCGCTTCATCGATCTTACCATTCTCTTTGTATATAATATATGTGGTGTGCTTGCCAGTTTTGTTGGTTAGTTGATTGCAGCTACTCGAGCACCAGTCGGTAAGTGGTCTGAATTAGTGACTGTTCTCGTTGGTTTGCTTAGAATATGCTGTATTGATTCGGTGCCAGAAAGGAAGGCTGCTGCGGCTTGCGTACCATTCCTCTACTACCATTGTCGATCTTTGTCTAGATTCAGGAACCATTTTCATAATAATCGAACAATAACCCTTGTAGTTCGGCGATCGATGCAGCCTTGAGGTTACTTGCGCTATGGCGTTTTCCAGGGTGAGGTTCTCGCGAATGTACCGCAATTATTCCTGGTCCTGAGTAGCCGCTTCGCGCCCATCATGTCTTTCAGCATCAGAAAGCTCCATGTAAAAGGATGGTCCAATGTACGAATTCCTTCCCTCTTTCGTCCAAGTAATGCTTCACCTGTCTGCGCACGATCCACGGAATATCCGAGAATATTAGGATGGAACATGACCCATTCTGCAGGCGAGCTGTCGATAATAGGACAGCTTCTGCTTCAATGGCAGAAGTCAGCACAACCCTGGAGAACACCTGTTCCATGTCAGTGCTCTGTGTTTGGGTTACAAGCCACGCGTGTGTAATTTGATTGCCGGCATCCGGTTTCGGATTTGCCTGTTACTGTGGCCAGCCACAGGAAGCCTGCGCCTAAAGATTGACCATGGGTGGTTTGCGCTGCAACTCCCGCGGTTCCATGCACACAACCCGCATCCAGTGTAAAGCCGAAGGAATAAGACCGGGAGGCATGTGGATGGGAGCCACGTTTCATCAACGGAGCCGGCCCACACTCCTTCACAGGCAAACACAAGCACGCCATATTTGGGAATCAATCGCACACAAGGCGGTGGATGGACTGTGGTCCGCTCCACATTGAGTGCATTGAACCACCCTTTGATTTTAACATAACCACAAGGACCGTGCAGCCCTCTCCTCCAACAACAACCAAATGTCTCCTACAGCCAGTTTGGGCGAGATAGTTAGTAATAGACAGATAAGTACCTTGTCTGGATACACATCAAGCGCAGCCACACCGGGTATGTCAAGCAACAGCTAATCACTTGACCGACGAGACGAAATAAAATAAATCGGATAATGCATACAGATACGGCGGCATGAGTCTTCACAAATGGGCGTATAAAATAAACTGATTAGGAACGAACCCGCGATAATTTCAAGAGGTCAGAAAATATATGTTAAGGAAATGCCATAAACATGAAATATTATCAAAATTGAGTTTACGAGCATAGATACAACCCCTATGGTGTCACGTATGGAGCTCCACAAATTTACGTAATCAAGTTTTTTTCATTTTAACGAATTCGACGTCGATTCCGGAACATTAGTGCAGATTACCTTGGTAAACTACGTGCAACTCTGTTTGAGGTCAAGCTACTGGCTGGTCTGTATAGAGGCGATGAAGATTGTTTGCGTACAGCTTTGTCTTTTTCATTTACTAAGGTCCGGTGGGAGTGGTCAAACAGCTAAATTTCGGTCACGTTTGGCAGTAACCAACTTCCAACCACCACTGGTTTCAATGCCCTTCTGAATTTTCAGAACCTTTTGGAGGGTGGACGAAACCCTGACTGTGTTCATGGAAATCGGTCTGGCGGTGGTTCTTTCAGGCATATTTGAACATTTGTTGGTATTGGCATTCAATGCTCCAGATGACGTATTTTTAGTGCGCTGTCTAGTCTTTTTCCTCAGATTTAATGCGGTGCTAGATGGGAATGACGGGGATTTGCTCTCTATCACGCTTTCTACAAATAAACCTTCTTTGGTGCTCCTCATTTGTTCAGACATTGCCACTAATCTTTCGTACTTCTGCGATAGTTAATATACCATCTTTACTAGTAAAATGACTATACACACTGAACAGAACCACAGCGAATCTGTTTTACTATAGTGTAGTTTCAACTGATTCACTGTAGGCTTGGAACATTTGCGATGGAACTTGCCTTGGCAACTGCTGTGTTGGATTCCGATCCGTACATTTTTATGGCATGAAGGAAGGCGACAAACTACTGTCAATCCGGATGCCGTGACATGGGCTATCGATTGGTCGCCACAATCCATTGTGTCGATTGGTGGTATTCCCAGAGATGCCTGCGCGCATATGGCTTCCTGCCTGTCGCGTGTGCACTGAATTGTCTGCGTGGTCAAGGTCGTCAAGTTCTGTGCGCCTGGGCCAGGCGGGGGCAGATTTAAGCGGCTAGATCGATCGGGCGTCAAACAGAGCGACTGAACGATAAAACACCACGTGTACGATGGCTATTTAACGAACGGTCCACAGCTGTATTTGCTGATTCGAGAGGTGAAACGTGCAGTCGGCTTAAGTTGGAGACCACAACTATTCCTCTGCGGTTCATGATTTGGAAAATTCCCCGATTGTGTTTTTGCGGAGATGGCGAACAAACCGCAAATTAGAGATAAAAGACGATCCACAAAACCTAGATCCAAAAGATGGAGTGCACTAGCTAGCATAGATAAATCTATGTCGAATGAGTGTGAACAATCGATATGTGTTATGCTCCCACAATTGGACCCTAGTCATAAGTGTTTGATGTCGACATGTAAGATAGTGCTGATGCCGCAAGTCAAAAATAATAAGAACCCAGATGTATGTGAGAAGTAGTGGTAGCAGATGGTTCTTAGATGAAATGAATTAAAGACAGCATTTCTTGTGAAAATTGAATGTTTAAATGGTGTGACTTGTTAAGGTCAGGATTCGAATTTGCGTATGCACAACTGGTTGCGCTAATACTCGATGACTTTGTTTACGCGATGAGACAGGAATATGGGTGACAGAGGAAGTGAGAAGCAACACGAAATTAGCGGACGGAGGGAGGATTTTACCCACACGTCTTTCAAACCACTGAAGTTTTGGTTCTGTCTATGATTGGTTTGTGGATTTAAGACGGAATTGTACTGCCTGTGCAGAAGCCTTGCAGAATGACACATGTCTATATAGTAGTATCTATATCTCAGATTCGACTAATCTGTTCTCAGTTTCCAAGCATTATTTGGGTTTTCCTTTTATAGCAACTCCTTACGTATCGGCGGATTGTACCGTTTCGAAGCATGGACTGTATGCAGTTGAGAAAATCTATAGCAGTGGCTGGTCTATGTGACAGGGGAATATGCATAAGTTAAATCTATCGAGACAAACTACGAACGTAGACGTATAAGAAAATGTTAACTTTAGTACAGTGTCAAATGTTATATTCATAAGTGCTGTTTGAAGATCGATTAGTCTTTTCACAGCTGTGTTATGTTTTACGTTATAGGTTTTCCATTTGAAGGACTCTATGCACCAGATGATGTTCATGGTAAGTGATGTAATACAACATATTCCCGTAGCTGGTAGATATAATGTGATTCGGCAGATTGTTGTGGTGTGCTAATAACGATTATCTAACTAAGCCTTGTGCTATGGTAAGTAGAAAAAATGAAAATCCAGGTCATTTGTAAGCGTTTTGTTTTATCAGGTCGCAGGCGTTTCAATTCAGTGAATGGACCTTTTGCGTTTTACGAATAATGATAGATAACTTAATATATCCTATTTGGACTCCCAAGTTGAAATGAGTGATGATGAAACCAGTGACGATAAAGATAAAATACGTTTTTCGCTTCCTTGGCTAAAGAATTTGCAATCAACTCAAATTAGTAATTATGAAACTTTCTTGAATTCACCTTGATTGCGTAAAATTTAGCACGCCGCTTGAAAATTTATTAATGAGATATTTTACTGTTCTTATGAATGTGGTTCTACCTCAATGTTATCGTGACAGTGCACAATCCACGCGTTGGAATACGTTATTCAATAAAATTTTGCCAGTATCCTATTGGTCTTATAATACAGTTCATATCTCTGCCGTACTCTCTTACAAACACTTGAATTGCTGCTCAACGTGCTATTTCGGCCTATGAGTGTATGCTCATGCACTTGTCTGAAACGAACAGATATACACGACTACTTATAGAAGAGGTTGTGTAGCATAAACGCTTGGATTATTTAACTTTTCGTACTGCACTAATGCCTAAATTTACAGCCATTAAGTCGTCTTCTTTTTGAAGCAAGTACAAGATAGCCGCCGTCATTACGTGTATACTAGAGTACATTTGTGTGATATTGCTATTGATGCGGGATATTGTGGCGCGGTTTTGAATAACGGCGTGTATAAAATTTACACTTGAATGACATCGCTGTTTGACTTGTAAAAATAAAAAAAGAATTCTGTGCATTCGGTATTTAGTGACTCCTTGCTTACTCTAAATTGGCAACAGACATGAAGTACCAAGTAACATTCGAGCGTGAATACTCGATCGACAATTTAAGCGACACAGAACTCCAATATTCATTGATTTTGTGGATCTATGTAGAAAATTGTGGTGGCACTTTTTGCGTAGTACAACCGTCACATTTTCAATGAGTAATTTTATTTGCGTTATGGCTGTCTTGATGGAAACGGAAATTAGTACAATAAGTGGTTACATATTTCGGTGCATGTGTTGGGCACGTTGAAATAATTACCTACGTTTACCAACTGGTACAGCATTGCTTCAGCGAAATGTATTTAACTGTTAATTGTCAATGCATTGGTTTTGACATGAATGAATAATGTACTTGTGTTTATTATTCGTTATGCTTATTTAAAATCGAATTCAAATGTTCTGTCTATTCCTTTCATGTCTGTAGATGATGATGTACCCACCTCCTCTGCGACACCAGGTTGGTTGCACGCATTTTTAAACGGCTAAGCACATTTCTTGTTGTTTTTGTCCATTGGCTAACGGTACCTTTATATAAACCGACAAATTTTGGGTACCTCTAGAATGGTTTTCATGGTATATGAAGAATCTGCCACCAGGCAGCATGCAATAAAACTGGAGAGTGCCAACCAGTAATAGGAAAACTGCTAATGCACTAAACGTGCATCTTTTGCTTTGAGGGTTCGTTTGTTACTTGTAAGCACACCGCTTATCCTTCTAACAATTTTTTGAAACTTTAATTTGTAAGTCATTCGTGATCAGGATTTGGTCGACTAGTTGACGAAAGTGTTTTATGGTGCTCTTCATCGTTTGATCTTAATCTTTCACGATAGATTCCAAAAAGCGGTGATTGAGTGAGCATGAGATGCTTATTCGAGAAGCCACATCACAGCATAACATTTTTCTGTGGGTAGACATTTTTATTGCATTTATCGTTTGTTATCTAAATCATCTTTATTGGCACCTAATATTAGCTGTAGGCGTGCATTGCCCAGTGGATTTTCTCCAACGACGCAGTCGCTGAATTTAAGTTTGTTAACGTTTTTACTGTTGCGACCGTTTTTGAAGGTAATGATGAAATTGGGACACATTTTTACCCTTCTGTGTGCAAAGCACTTATGTCACCAAAAACCTTGTTGGTTTTTGTTTTTATCTGCACTCCGTGATCTGGGAAATTTGCAGTAACAATTCAGTATCTAAGGCATAGAATGCGCCACCTGTATCTACCAGTATTTTGATCAGTTTGTTATTTATGAAACTGCAATAGTGATTCGAAGTTGAAAGAGAGGTTCAAAATTCGGAACCGAACAAGTAATTCCTATTCGACTTGACGATTGTCCCTGACTGATTCCTGGGTGTGGGTATAAATTGTATCTGCAGCTAACCGCTGCGAGAAAATTTTGAATTGCCGCTACAGACACGGACAACAATTTCATCATGAGACGAAATGGGTATTGGGTGCAACGCCGGGAGTGAGTCAGGATTCACAAGTAACATACCCATATAGTTTCCCATTGTTACGCCTCTGTCTGGTATGTTTAAGCTTATGGGAGTCAGGGTTAAACTTGAATTTGCAAAGTAAGCTTCGAAAGAGAATTTATAACAGTATTAACCGGCTACTGTTCCTTCGCAGTTTCCACACTGTAGCACTCGTTTTATCTACATATAGAAGCACATTAGGAAGGGTCGGTTAACATACACCGAATTGGTTAGCGAGTAACCGCATAAATGTAGCCTACAGTGATAGTTACTCAATAGTTCAATAGTGTATAGTGGGATAACAAGCAATAACTTTACAAGACCCACAGGATGGCAAATGGAAGAAAACAAAAGTTTCAGGTGTGACACAAAAATATCAGTAAGTTAGACACTGCAGTTTGTCATACCGTTATATAATGTGTATCATGTAAGTGCAAGTCCAATAGTCTTTCGAATGTCTCGATGTTTGGTGCGTTCACCACATGCGATGGCAGTGCGTTCCAGTGCGGACAGACACTAAGAGTGTAAAAAAAACTTTCTACAATCTAAACGGGAATATTGAGTCAAAAGTTTTAGTGCATGGCCTCAAAATCGTTTGTCGGCAGATAATGTTAACAGCGACTTACATGGATGGTCCTCTTCTCTTAGTATCCGGAAAGTGAGGACCAGATCACCGCGAAGTCGTCGGTATTCTAAGGAGTACAGACCAATCGAACGAAGGCGCAGTTCATAACTAAGGCCCGATAGACCACGTGTTGCCTTAGTGGCTCTTCTTTGTGGTTGCTACAGGAGACGAATGTCCCGTTTTAACCACGGACGCCATGCCTGCACCGCATACTCGAGGTGGGGACGAATGTAGGCGTTAATCAATAATGGCACGAGTTGCCGCTCGAAGGTACCGAGCGCTCGCCTCAAAAGCCTCAAGTTTAAGTTCGCTATGTTAGCTGCCTTTGAACATTGGAGCGAATTACCCAGACCTTCTTGCACGATGACCCCTAAGTCTCTTTCGTTGCTCACCTGTTTTATAACGCGCTGCCCCAGGTGATATGTGTTGCTGCAGTTACTGCGCAGCGACAACAGGTGACACTTTTCGGGGTTCAGGGGTAGTTGGTTGTTTACTGCCCATTCGTGAATCCGGTTCAGGTCATCCTGCAGATAGACAGGGTCAGATGTTGACTGAATAGCTCGCCACATCTTAGCATCGTCGGCGAATATTTGCATAGGTGATGGAATGTTGGCAGGGAGGTCGTTGATATAGACTATAAAGAGTAACGGGCCGAGAACTGATCCTTGCGGTACGCCGCTAGTGACGCATAGGCTATCAGAGTGGGTGTTGGCGATCCTTACCTCGATTCTTCTGTCGTATAAGTAACTTTCCAACCATGTGAGCAAGGATCCGTCGATACCATAGGCCGCAAGCTTTTGGATAAGTGCTGGGTGATTGACTCTGTCGAATGCCTTAGAAAAGTCTAAGTAAATCACATCTACGGGAACTCTCTCGTCAGAAGCCCTGGTCCATGAGTCCCGAGCCAGTAGTAGATTGGTGAGGCAAGATTGTCCGCGTCTGAATCCATGTTGGAGGTTGTAGATGATTTGAAGACTTTCAAAGTATCTCATAATTTCATCAGCGATTATAGACTCTATAACTTTTGATAGAACAGGAAGGAGAGTAATAGGTCGGTAGTTGGCAGGCTCTGACCGCTTACCTCCCTTGCATATCGGAGTGATAAGTCCACGTTTCCACTCAGACGGAAGTATGTGAGAATCAAATAGAATCTGGAAAAAGGTTGCAAGGTGGACTGCCATGGTGGGTGCAAGGGTTTTAAGTACTTTCGGACAGATCTTGTCAATTCCCGGCGCACTATTTTCCCTGAGCGACTGTAATTTCTTTGCCACAGGTGTAGGGCTGAAGTTGACCGTGGATAAGCCGACGACATTTGCTGGGATGTAGCAAGGCGATGGTTCCATGGTGTGTCTAGTCACTGAGACAAACTGCATGAGCAATGCGTCCGCGGTCTCCTCTTCAGTAACCGTTAGGCCATTGACCGCCTCTAGTGGTGGTAGTCCCGTCTTAACCTTCCTTTTGTCATTCACATACCGGTAGAGCAGTTTGTGGTTGCTAGTAAATTTGCGTACCATAGTTTCCTGCCATTCGTACTTGTCAGCTTTAAGGAGTGAAGTGAAGTAGTTTCTGACTGTTTTGTAATGATTCCACGTGATATCACTTGGACCTAGCAAATGACCCCTCCAAGCCTCGTCTCACCTATTCAACAACTTACGTGTTCTACTCCGGATCCAGTTGTTGCTCCGTCGCGAAACTCGTAATGGTACGTCTTTTGAAGCTGATTGTAGGACCCAGTTTAGCTTGCCTTTCAATACTTGCCAGACATCATTCGCCGAAGTGTGCATCTGGAGGTCCCAGTCAACGGTTGTCGCTATAGTTTGAAGCTTGGAATAGTTGGTGATGAGTCATCAGGTTTCTGGTTCTTTGTCAACCATACTGGCATAACACACATAATCAAATGTTAGAACTGAATGATCGCTACAACCTAGCGGGGGGTTAAATGAAACCGACTCAACCATTAACTCCTCATTAGTCAGGATTAAATCAAGTATTGAAGGCTTGTTTGAACCGCGGTGTCTGGTTGTTTGATCCACATGGTTAAACAAAACTGCCATAGTCAAAAACTCAAGGAGTTTTGATTGGAAGCATGGCCCACTTGGAAACACAGATGCTATTGACGGTACATTGAAGTCACCCATTATTAGGTAGTGTGAGTACTTTTTCGACATAGCATATTGGAGAGCATTTAACAGAATATCATCGCTGTCGGCGGAGGATTTCGGCGGCCTGTAGACAACTGCTATGAGGCAAGCATCATGTGCCTTCTTCTGAGGACAAACATTGGGACCGGATACCTGCAGCCGGCAAAATAAGGCGTCGGGGATAATAAGGAATGCTCAGTGAGAGCTTCACATTTCAGGTGATCTCGGTAGTAGATAGCAATGCCACCACCGCGAGATGGACGATCATTTCGAATGACTGACATTTCACTAAGTTCAATTTCTGGATCCAAAATCTCGTTTGAGAGCCAGGTTTCAGTTAATGCTATGATGTCCCAAGTTGCTGCATCATGCCTATGGCGCAATTCCGGCAACTTGGAGTAAAGCCCTTGGGCGTTTGTGTAGCAGCATTGCATTTGTTGTCGCATTAGGAGGTGGGTTCGCTGTGTTTGACCGGCACAAACAGTGCCGGTCTGCCCACGTTTTTTTGACACGAGTGTTTGCAAGCTTGGCTGGTCTATGGTCGGAAAAGCCAGGTCTGACTCAACTGTACCAGTGGTCTCAGTTGTACTTCTGGTGGTCCTAGCCTTCTGCTGTGGTAACACACGTTAATTGCCATTGATGCTATCTTCGGCGTAGCCAAGGTAACTTTCAAAATTTTCGGCCCTTTCCCTTGATAGTTTGGGGAGGAAGCTAAGCGGCTGACGTCGAATGCCACAACATTCTGCATGCCATAGAGTTCTGTGATATAGCGCCACTCATCAATATGGTGTTTTTGTCTTTCACTGGTGTCGCCATGTTTCAGTTCGGGCACACCATGAACCAACACCACGTTCTTCATTACATTTTGACGAGACGCGGTTGGGTCGGATTTTCGCTTTTGTCTTTCCTTCCATGGCATGTCTGGAAAAATGCGGGCACTGAGAGAAGAGTTCGGTAGACTGTGGCTTGCTAAGAGAACATCCTCCAAGTCCTTTGTGCTACCAAATGTTACTCGCAGTAACCGAGGTTCCCCTACTTGAGGAGACGATGGGTTTCGTGACAGACGTGTAAGACTAGTTGGGAGAACGTTTAGTCCTAGTGCGCAGCTTATCGCAGTCCAGCGATTTTGCTCTTCGGCTTGTCGAACTTTTCACTACTCGCTGGTGGGTTCTGGTACGTTTGAACATATGACTGTCATCGCTTGTTGGTTGCGTAATAATTTAGTTTGTTGCAGTTCTTTTTAGGTGGAGGTTTGTCGTGTAGAAGTGTTGGTCTTGTCTTGTGGAGAAGACAAGTCAAGGCTGCAGCAAGAATTCTCCTGTGCAACGACGTTATTCACACAGTTTGTAATGTGCTGCCCAGCTAATAGCGATGATCGTGCAATTTGTGCATAACTCTTTACGCCTTGTGGTACAACAGAAGATTTTATAGAATTTTCAACTGGCTTGGCATCACAGTTGTTTATCGCTAATGGTGCTTGTTTTCCGCCAGAACGTGTAACATTTTTAATGGATAACTTTGGTCTTTTGGTAGGTCTGGGGTTAGGGCTACTTAATACACTAAGCTGCAACTCGAGTTCAGCGATTTTCCCTCCCAAAGCCTTGACCAATTCTTTCTGTTCGGATGACGCAACAGCCAACATTTCACACCTCGCGTTGAGAGTTCGGATAATCTTGGCTATTGGGCTATCTGAACACGCATCACAGAACCACAGACTATTTGTTATTACGCTGCGGTTTCCGCCAAGTTCTGAGTTCACGTCCACTTCGTCGTAAGAATTTGCACACAAAGAGCACGTGATTTTTGTGATGACAGTTCTCCGCTTACTTGAGCCATGATTGACCTTCGTTGTTTTGTTCTCGCGTGGACCCGCTGATAAACTTCGCCTTCCCATGGCTTAGTGACTCGTATGCACTTTAAATCACGCCGGTCGCACCGTTGTGAGCTGCGTGAATTGACTAGTCCGGCTAGCGGTAACCGTCGCTGTCCGGGTTTGGTGGTGATGGTTCCTGGCGCAAGCGTGTATGGAATCACAAACACTTCGTGTGGTAGGGTGCACGAAGGAATATAGATTAAAGGAAAAAATAGCCAGTATCTATGGTGTATGGTGGTGCACAGTACTAAGCTATATGTCACCTGATAGCTTTAGAAAAGCTCTGTAGAATGGTTTCTTAAATTCACTGAGATTACCTTGAAAAAACAAGCTCTCAAGCGTGGTTTTTAATGTACGAATTGCCGAAGACGCCGGTTGGGATGAAATAGCGAGACGGAGGACTTACTGCGCAAATATAAATCCCGTTCGATAGAACTCGGCGAGCCGAAACGAATGGGCGTATTTCCGGGAATGTAGCACAAAAAAATGAACGGAATAATCCAGGATTACCACAGAGCACAGAATTATGCGACCGTCTGTGACCTTGCAGAAGGGTGTTTAAGTATAAGTTAGTAATCAGCCACCCTATTCTACCCAATCGGAACTGATATGGACTTTTACATACACACCAGTATATAAAATTTTATGCAACATACAGGATTCTAATTCGCGTATATTTTATATATTGTAGACGTCACTGACTTTATCATTGAATGCATGGCCAACGTGCTTCTGTCCAAACACTCTATTTATGCAATTAACGAAAACACACTTTCAGTAAGGTTCGATTTTTACCTGGAAGGGCATTATACGTTTAGTTTGGGAAATGCAAAGAGCTGACAAGTTGTTGTTATCTGCATCTGCAAGATGCTGCCGGCGTAAAATGCGTTATCCTAATTTCCGAGCTTTCAGCGTTCGTTGCTGACAGACATGTTTTCAAACACAATGGAACCACCCTGAATTTACGCTGGTGTATATGTGTACTAGCGTGGTCTTTTGCATGGTGTACTTAGCTGCCATTGAATGGAGCACTTTCTGTGATGAAATATCGGTTACAGCACAATGTTTTTCTACAACATAGTGACTAAACATTTAGTCGCCTATTCCCGGCACATAATCGATTAAAGTAAAGCTCATACATTTTGTACGTAGTGCATTCATACGAATGCTGAACACCAACTGTAGGAAAATGTCATTTGCATACTGCATTAAATATGGCCTGTATTTTATATACGCCAGATAAAATATTAGCTGATAAAGCTTTATTTATTTACGGTTGCTCCTACATAACATATGCTAAAGATTGAGTTGTTGCATGGAAAAATCATGGACCAGATATGTGCTGGCCGTTTTCGCATTTAGCCAAATGTTTCTAAAAATACAAATAGCACAAGTAATTCTTGTTTTAAGGACTAGGCCAGCTAATATGTGCAGCCCGTCAAGAAACGCTACTATTTGTTTTTTGCTTTCACCTAGTGCAGTAACTAATATTTTTCCACTTTGGCTAATCAAACTATAATATTGATCTGGTTATATGAAGTTAACTTTTACCCATTTCTGCAAAGTTTCTATTGGTAAACCGCATTGAAACCAATTGAAACGATAGGCATTTGTGGAATTCTCAAAAGAATAATTACCCAGACACAACTCCTTGTCGACTGAGGTGTTGCTGTACAAAGTTGAGTAACTCTAAGAAACCAAACAGTACAAATGAACCTTGTTTTGAGCACATGTTAAACAAAATATGGGTAGTCACCTCATAAAAATTGCCGTTCGCTTTCTGGTTTCATGTAATTCAGAAACTACTCTTCTTCTCTACTGCTTAATCCAAAATATCGGTCGCTTTATTTCTGGGTAGGCATGTTGCTAATTCCTCTATTGTCTGAAATGTGTAATCCGCAAGAGAACAGATATTGACGCTGTGCATTTGAAAGACACAGAAAAGCATAATGGATCGAACACATTTCCTTATTGTATGAAGTGTTAGTTTGCAGAAGTCGGTAATTTTTCTGATCGCTTCAGACAATACACGTCGTTATGAACAACCAACAAAATGTGTTAAGCAAAAAATGTTGTGTACCACAATTTGCTGATAAATTTTGTATATCTGCACTGCTATCTTGTATGGAGTATGATACTATTCCTCTCTCTCACTGCTGTAGATTTAGGTTGAACACTGACCAAAACTTCTGGTTGAAGCAACTAGACAACAAAGTAGTACCGCATTTTTGGTGTGACCTATATGTGTGGCGACCTCATGCATGCACACTTCTTATTTATTTGCGCAATTTTCTCACCACCGCTTGCTTCAGGAAGACAATTTACAGCCAATTCTTTCGCGTTTTAGCTTCAACGATTGGTCCAGAATTTTGGAACCGCAGTAAGTGCCTCACACTGTCCTGTTGATTTACTCAGCAAAAGTTATATCTGAAGCAATCTTTTCCATCGAAACGTTAGGTAATTTCACTTAGATCGGCTATCTAGATGAGTGTTTTAACTTTGACTTGCTGGTGCAGCAATGGTTCAGGTGTACTAATGGAAATATTGTGTGATATAATGCTGTTGTCTTACGATCTGAATGAACTTTGACTCCATCAATGCGAACCAGCTTTGTGTTCATTTTCAGGCCTTCCAATTATCAAATGTCCTGTAGTAAATATTAAGGTTATGCCTACGTTAATTATTCATATATTTACCGTATTAAAAGGCATGCAGCGAGACGCATGTTTTTGCTGAATAACGGATATTGTGAGCTTATGCGCAGTAGTTTCTATCCTAGTTGCCGCTTGTCATGCTTTAGAACACCACTGCAGGTTGATTTTATCATAGACGAAACGTATTGTATTGCCTCTGGCTATGGCCGCAAACGAGGTACAAACAAAAAGCAAATGAGTAACACAGTAGGCATAACTTCAGGCTTGCGAAGTTCGCGTATTCAGTGATTTTCAATCCCGCTCACATTTAATCAATTTGCGCTGTCTTCAATTTAAAATTTTTCTTTCCTTAATTCACCCGTCAATAAACTACTTTGAGTTCGCCGGTTACACAAGCCGTCGATTGTTTCCGTTCTACAAAACCTCACAGCACCAATCTGGGATTTCCATCTGTAGTGGGCCTTGTGTGACCACCACAAAGTGTGCATCCCCACCCTGCTCATCCCTGAAGCTGAGTTTGCACGCTTTCAAAAAACTACGTTGCAAGCGATTATTGACGTACTCTGTCTGAATTAACCGGCCGTGGCTTCCACATTGGACGTTTGGTGTTGCAGACGCTACTGCGTATTCGATTCTTTGGTATGTTGTTCGCAATGAGGCTGGACCTTACCATGGTGCGATGGTTTGCGTGCCTCAGAAATCCATTGAGCTATGCTGGGTGGTGTTTATTTTGCACCGTCAGAGCCAATCATACCAGATTGCTCAATGGTTAGAGGCTAGGCAAAATCAGCCTTCTGGTCCTCCAGGTTGGGGCTTGTAATGAGGGTGTCTCCTTATTTCATAAAGCGGGCTCTCTGTATTCCAGTTCCAAAACCCGCTGCTTTGCGGTAAGGTTTATGAACCAAAGGCTTTAGTTGAGTACCATAATCGTTCTCCTGCCTAGGCATGGGCAACCTGACAGTATTCTGCCCACACAATACAATGAAACTTTCATCAAACAATCTCTTGTTTCTCTGGCCGTCGCAGAGTATAATAAACGGCACCCTATCTGCTGCGTCGAGCAGGGTGGATAGGGGTATGGATGCTACTTCTCAGGCCTTCGCGTCCTCTTCAACACCCTCTTGCTCAATTTCATCCTTATCGACCCGTTCCAACTTTACTTTTATCCCCCGATTTTCAATCCCCTAATCCTTGGCCCTCCCCAGCTTGATTCAATAATCGTTTGGCTTCTTGTTTCAAATCACACACAGTCGCAGGGCGTCGCTCCAGTCCAGTCGACAATTCTGTGTTCAAACAAGCGGACAACGTCAAATCATTTGTTTTCCTTTGGAGTCTTCGAGTCTCGCTAAGACTGGTATGCCTCATCGTGCGCACTTTGCTACAGATTGGCAAACAGGCAGCACTTGCCCGCACACTAGAGACCTATCGATGGATATTTGTTGTTTATCAGAAACCCGCTCGCATATTTCAAGCTCCGTGGTTACCCTGCCATCCACCCCGTCCGACACTGGCGGGACATTCTCATTGCGCCTGTCTGGCGATGATGCAGCTTCAAATGCCGTTCAAGCTGGCGTCGACATTGTTTTAAGTCCCCGGGTTGAAGATGCTTTGATCTATTGGATCCCAGTAAACAGTAGGATGTGCGCCATTAGATTAGCTGGTTCGTTCCGTGCTGCGAAGTCGCGCGGGGACAAACGGTGCCTGTTTTTTATTGCGGTCTATGCCCCAACTAACTGCACCACGATTCGGTAAAAGATGATTTCTATCAGCAACTTCACGAGCTCCTTCTTTACAGCAGAAACAGGTATACCGTTGTGTTGCCTAGCGATATAAACGCCCACGTAACAAATTGTCCTCTCCTTTGCTTCACCTGAGCGGCCAACATCGTGTAGGATCCGGTAATGATAACGGTGAGCGGTGGCTACAGTTGTGGGAAGATGTTCGCTGTTTCTCGCGTGCATTAAATTTCGACACAGCACCCGCAGAAGCGTGACTTGGCGCCAACCAGCCTCGGGTCAGCCATGGATGCAACTCGATCATATCACGATCAGTTACCGCTGGAGAGGCTGCGTCCAACACTGTCTCTTGATTTGGAGTACGAGCGTGGACTCTGACCACGCACTTGTCTGCTCTGACCTCCGAATTCGCTTCAGTGGACGTCCAAAACGTCGATGTGAACGGATTGATTTAGCCAGCTGGCGAAGCCAGATGTTCTGAATGTGTATCAATGTGCGCTGGCATCTGGGCTGAGTAAGCGCCCAATAAACACTGTCGAAGATCACTGGTCGCATATTCCTAAAACGTTACTGTTAGCATGCATGTATTCATGGGGCAAAGCAAATTGCCACAGCGGATATTGGGTGTCTACACAGTCTCTGGAACTTATGGATGCTCGCTGACGTGTTCCGGCTGGAAGCGAATATAATGAGGCTCGCAAAAATCTCAGGGAAATGCTATATGCTAGCCTGAAGAAAGACCGCGAAACCTGGTGGTCTCAACGTGCCTCTGAGATGAAAACGTGGCTGCTGTTGGCAATCATCATAAGTTCTTCCGTCTGATCCGGGAAACAGGCCGCAGGATACCTGGTGTTATCAAGACCATACTCGACGAGAGTGGGTAGCCGATTCACGGCCTGTCAAAATTTTTGGTGCGTTGAGCTAAACAACTTGCAAGGCAATTTAACCAAACTGAGTTATTGGTTTCTTTTTCGGGCATTAAATGACGTTCTCTCTGGGCCGGCTTCTTGGATCCACCCTCACGCGCAGATGTCGAACATGATGTCAGGCTACTGAAATTGCACAAGGCCGCAGGGGCAGATAGAATTCCCCCAGCCCTCTTCAAATTCGAAGAACCTGCTTTACTAGATGATATACACGGGTTGCTAGTGAAATTATGGGAGCAGGAGACTGTCCTGACAGATTGGACCGCACAGGCATTGTCCCAATTTTCAAGGGAAATTCCCGTTTGGAATGTGGTAATCTTAAAGGGTTCGGTCTGATTTCGATTGCCCCTAAATTGCTTGCCTTTTATTCTCCACAGACTGACTGGCACTCGTGAAAGCCACATTCCTGAAGAGCAAGCCGGATTTCGTCGAGGTCAGGGCTGCATCGACTACACCTTCACCTTGCGTCACTGGTTGGAGCACCGCCATGTTCTTTGGCGACCCACCGTAGTCGTGTTTCTTGATAAAAAGGTGCCTCGGACTCAGTCGATCGACTTGTCATTTGGGACTATCTGCTGAGGAATGGTATGCCTGATAAATATGTAAACACTATCAAAGCGCTGTACGCGCATAGTTCGTGAATAGTGAGAGTTATGGCAAACTGTCGCCATCCCTCAGTATCACCAGCGGTGTGAGACAAGGTTGCCCGCTGTCAACTTTCTTCTTTAACCTCGCTATTGTTTAATCCATGGAAACAGCATTCACGGGACACGACCTAAAATGTGTGGAGCTACTTCCTTTTGAGCGACTTCCTGACTTAGATTATGCGGACGATATTACCCTGATATGTGACAGCTCCCAAACATGTCAAGCAGCATTGGACCGATTAGCACTGGCTGTCAATCGTTTTGGGCTGTACTTTGCTCCATCGAAATGCAAAGTGTTTATCCAAGGTTGGCTGGGACCCAACCCTGCGCTAACGCTTGGTGGTAATATACTAGATGTCGTTCAGGAATTCAAGTACCTGGGCAGCTATATTGGCACCCGTAGGATTAAAGATGGGGTTAGGAACCGTATAGCAAACCCACGAGGTGTTTTTGCCAATCTCTGCCACCTGTGACGTAGACGCGACATTACCTCCGCCCTGAAGAGCAGGGTTTATAAAGCAGCCATCCGTTCAAGTTTCCATATGGTTATGAAACTTGGCCCATCAGGTCGACAAACATAAAGATGCTCGTTATATTCGATCATCGCTGCCTTCGCAGCTTAGCTCATGTCTGATGGGTGCATCACGGGAGCAATGCGCGTGTTTGGCGTCTCGTACTTGGTGTAGGAAGAGCGAGTGAACAGCTCAGCACCATTATATCACGCACCAGGCTCCGATGGTTAGGCCATTTGTTGCGCATGCTAGCATACCGACTTCCGCGACGTGCATTGTTTGCGCATTGTGGGTGCGCTCGAAAGAAGAGGAGGGGAGACCAAGCTATGGCTTGATAGAGCGAGATGAAAATCCTCACTTCGAAGTTGACGTCGGTTGGTGCATCCCGACTGCCTGGCTGGGGTCCTAAGGAAGGTGAACACGTTTGGTTGGACACACTTGCTAGTATGGCTTGGAGCCGGCTCCAATGGCGTTTATGTTGTGAGTTCCTTTGTCCATTGCCCTCCTGCTTAGCATCCCCCACCAATCGCTAACTCACTCGTTAGGCATATTATCACTCCCCTTTTACGGCACGATAGCCAGCAGTTAGCTTCCGGAACGATGTCCATCCGTTACTGGGGACTCAGCCGACGTGCCACTGTTTGTTTTCCTTTTATTGTCTTTCATATTGCGGTACAATAGCTGAGGTGTTTTCCACCTGCAGCTAACCTATATGATGATGCTAGGTTGTTCGTACTGCTTGCACAGGTGGACAGCTCTGTGCACTTGAACTATATACTAGTTCGCTGATTATTTGCAGTTAGAAAAGAAGATGGGTAAGGTTTTTGAATCCACTCATGGCGTTGCTCAATACAAGCATCATTACTATTATATATGAACTATTGCGGGGAAGAAGCCAGAACCGACCCCTTATGCATGACGGCTTAAACCGTCTCTCACTTATGATGCTGTCCATCAAAATATCATGGTACTTCTCATCATGTTGACACCTCGCAAACACATATGAAGTGACTGCGGAATGATATTTTCCCGGATATTTCATACCGGGTTGAAATCTTCCAACTCGATAACAGCACCAAACTTGGGACAAGAAACAAGTTCTCATGTTTCACTCTCTCTTGATAACGAAAATAAAACGCATATGTTGTATACGTTCTTCTTATGACAAAGTCAGGATAGGCTATATATATATAGTTATTAGACCACAGTAACAGTTTCTGTAAAATGCATTATTTTCCCGCAAGTCTGGTACCGGAATTATTTGCCTCTACTCTGGGAATCGTTGGAAGATATGGGAATAGTGCAGCTGTGCTTTTATAAAACGGTTGGGTTAGTTTTCGTGATAGTTCAAGATCGGTGCTTTGCTTCCACCATGGCAGTAGCGGTTGATCAATGTAATGTAAAATCATCAAATTTTAAGTAGGTGAGCTTTCTTCCCTAATCGATCTACGAATATATGTAAAGGATAAGCTCGAGTAAGTAGAAAAAACTCGTCTCTTCTTTGGAGACAGGTACAGGGAAATCACTATCGACGAATCCTCATGAAAGTGACGAGCCAGATGGTCAATACATCTTTCCCAATAATTACATGAATACTAGGTTTTCACAATAGCACATCTATTTTACTGCTTTTGGCTCGAAAATTATTGTATCTTTATACATCAAGCACATTATCTATAATAAATTGAACTAGGATATTAATTTCTCTGCACTTCGGTAAGTTTAAACATGCCTGAGAACAGTTTTTGCCATACTAGACCAGTTGCAATTCTGCTTCTTGCAAACTGGACAGACTAGTGAGCTATTTGTTATCAAGTGCTAGGAATAAGTAGGCTACAAATATTACGTTTCCGTTAAGCTGTAGATATATTTGACATGTTAAAGGAAAATGTTAAACACGATTGCCTCTACAAAGAATAAGACTGTACGATTGTACCAGTCTGAAAACGGCTGATATTTTTGCTGATTTGAAGCAAAAGGCAAGGCCGAATATAAAAATTATGGATACTACTAAAAACGCAGTAGTGTATGAATGCGCACGGATCATCCTCTTGATACTGACTCAATTTGACTTGATCCTGCTCGCTTCGGCCGACGGACCGAATGTCGAAAATCTTTCCTGTGAAACTTAAACATTCCATAATTTAAGGTACTGAACTTTCTTTTCAGTATTCGACCAAGGCAATCCGGAACAGCTGAGGAGAATTGGTAAGCGGAACAGTAATGGCAGTGTCACTGTACGGTACCGCAGATTAAATCTATAAGCAGCTGCTTAATACTCCGGTCTGTTTTTGTGAAATCCTTGGTTTGTGATTCATATCGAGTCTACCTGACAAGATTGCTTATGCGATTTTACACATTATCCAAATATTTCTTTGCGTGCACGAGCGATATATTTTTCATAAGGCACTATTCTACCAAGTCCATAGTCAACTTTTGACTACTAATCGGTTACCTTTTTCTGACAATTTTATAGCCGCCAAACCAGTTGCTCAAAATGTGACACTGGCTGAGTTGGACATGATGTCAGGTAAACCACGTTCTCGTTTTGTTAAAACTTGAATATGCAACGCTGCAAGAACGTTAAATTGTTCAGATCGGTACGTATCTTCATATGACTTAGCATAAATATACATTGGGACTAAAACTGAATATGCTTTGCAGTTTACAGTCACTGTACATTTCGTCTTTGTTGGCATGCTTAGCTCACATTTCCCTGTCATACGATTTTGTTTTCTGCAACAGAGATCACGCAACCGCCAAAGAAGAGGGGTAAGTTGACGGTAATGCAGGCAGCTAGGTGTTACAGTATCTAAAGCTTTTGTCGAGGATTAAGAACCGTTTCGACATGTACGTCTCCAACAAGAGTTATGGCCTGCGTCCTAGTAAATAGGACATAATCAGTGTGGCTTACAGGGATAAAAAGCTTATCAACTACTAACCACTGAGAACTGTATGTTTTTATTCATTCGAGTTTGGATTAAATTTTAGATGTGCAAGGTTCCAAAGAAATTCCACTTGACGACACATATAAGTGACCGAGAAAGAGAGTTGATATCCCTTATTAACTCATTTAGGGAACAACGCGGGAAAAACATGCAGATTTCCTTGCATTGAAATTTTGCCTCCTACCTTATAATGCGTATTCATTCATAGGTGGCCATGTAGCAGCATTCTAATTTGAAAACTGCCCCGGGCTGACGGACAAATGAACGCTTATGCGCCACTTAATGTAGGGAACAGATACATTTTAGATGGCAAATTACGGCTAACTAGGATTTCAATCATACAAATAAATCTGCAGTATTTATGAAAGTATTAGTGGGTATTAATTAATTGACAGCGTATCGGCCTCAGTCATTACTATGCTAACCCTTTCTTATACACGAAGACTCCAATGCAAGGCATGACGAAGAATTCTTTGGTAATCTTTGCCCGGGTTATCTTATCTAGGCCAATGTGTTACTTTCGGACACTGAGCATACGGTATCAGTCCGACTTTGTCCATCGATTAATTATTCGACTAATTTATATCCATTGGCTTCTCAAAATTTCATATTCATAGGCTTCTTATATAAGACACTACGTTAATATAGCGCACTTTACATTGATCGACCTGGATTAAGTTTGCCTTTCTCTGGTATGAGATACACCAAATCATAATTCGAAAAAACCTGTGTTACTCGCAACTAATATCCACTACACAGGAAAGTATGAAAGTTGTTGCGCTCATTAGCGGTCTTGTCTATCGCATTTAGGAATGTATTATTGTAGACCTACAGTGGGATATAATGTGTTGTAGGTGGAAGCTTGAATTAAGTGAACCCCTACTTCCTATGCCACATTTCAGATGATGATACAACAGATAAGAAAAAAGAAGGTGAGTTTCTGCTAATTATTCGACAGCATTGTTCTTAACATTGGCGATGTCGAATTAACCAGGCACTTACTTCCATGTTGAACGGGATCGTGCTTTGCATATATATGTGATACGTATTCGCGACCTGATAACGATAATTTGTTTCGAGACATAAAGGGATCCCCAGGTAGGACACGCATGAAGTTGGTGAGACCAACCCTTCATCATAACACAGATTATTACGTGAGATTCGTGAGTGAGTGGGAATAAAGCTGGCCAGTGCGGACTGCTAACAGGTTTGGAATCGATCCAGACAAATGGTGTGAATCAGCTCACAATGTTGCAAGCGGCGATAATATCAAGTGACCCATAAAATAAACCTTGTGCTGTTGTTAAAATAATCCGTTCTAGCAGGCCGCGTTCGATTGTTTCTTCCCCGGCTGGGATGTCAGCGCAAAGCGTAGGTGAGAGGGCAGCATTAGAACAAATATCAGTGTACACCTAACTTTGCATGTAATTCATTGTGAGTGGACACTTGAATTAAGTGAACGACTAATTTCTGTGCCACCTTTAAAGATTCGGACAACAAAGAAGAAAAAGAAAAGAAAAGTAAGTTTCTGTTAATCATCGTGACAGCAATTTGCTTGGAGTGTACAATGCCGAGGTAACGATGTACGCACTTCCCTGTTGAACGAGATCCGGTTTTGTGTGTAGGTGTTACACAGGCTTTACTTTTATTAGATGTGGATAACAAAATTCATGTCAACGTTGCTACTTACAACAAGACCATGAAGACAGTTAGCTGTAAAACGAAATCAGGACACTTATTAAGGACTACAATTTCTAGTTATCTCTATGCTCTTGTTTTGTGTGATGGTGCACTTGGCACTCATTTCCATGTCCAGTTCTACCTAGCGCTTCCTTCTAGCAGTCATCTGATTCACGATTTACTGATTATATTTTGAAGTTTGCGATCGTGAGTCTCTTCCGCTTGATTACACTCGCTAGTATATGTATTTCACTGTAATGATCTGGACATACTCGAAAGGTTTAAATCTACATTTGAGGCCGGTTTTCGATTAAGAACAATCAAATAAGGTTGTAAGTAATATAATAACTGAATATCAGCATTTGTGTTTGTACTGCGGAAAATGTGTTTGAAAATGTATTGTTGAATAATGGTCCCAAATGTATGCCTCATATTATCCCTACCAAGCGAGCCACCGAGGCGATATATAATGTGGAATAAGTTTCGCGTTCTTTATCCGAAAAGTTTAATTGATAGTAAGTAAATATATAGCTGCTACATTGTGTTTGAACGCATTTGCAGAGATCATGTACCCATTTTATTTACAGTTTACCCTCGCCTTGGAAATATTAAGAGGAGTATCGTTGAATGCAACAACAATCATTGCTAGCGCTTATTGTAGGTTGAAAATATGACTTCTGAACGATAACCTACACTTTACTTTCACGACGGACTTCCCGTGCATTTGTTGGTTTCTAAGACTTCTGGGTATTGCTAGCATCGATTGGAGGGAATAATGACATCCAGCCAGTATGTTTCAGCTTGTGAAAAGAAAACAGTCCCAAAGATATTGGTAGGAAAGGGCGACGCGCGTATGCAGTAGAAACACGATTGCTCTACAAAACCTGAAGCATTTAGCGTGATTCAATTGATTTATACTGCTTCCAATTCTTCAAAAATAAACCATTGCGTTGTTTTCAAAGGATAAGGAGACGACAGAAATTCCTACCAAAATGCAGCCCAAGCCACATCCTCTACCAGGTAAGGAGAAACAAAAGAAATCATGCTCCTTATGGATAAAAAACATCTGTTTAGAAAGCGTTCCTTAAGTCATCAAATGCTATATTCATTCTCATACTCTGAATTGGAAAACAGTTAAATGCATGCTAAGCAGCTTACATTACCGGCAGCTTGGGAATTTTGAGCAAACAATTTCATCAAGTACCGAATTAGGTATTAGCAATTTTTCTGCTAATTTTATTTCTCCTCCGCAAGTTAAACGACAATTAAACCACCATTCATGGACATCATTTGGTTATGGTTGCTAATCTATTCAATAACATCTATTCCTTACAAGTTTATCGGTAGAAATAACCAAGACACATGGCTGCTTGGCAATTCCATTGCGACATTACATTTTGAACTGCATCGACGTGGCGTATCATCATATCAAACTGCAGTTTTATTCGGATGGAACCCGTTGACTCCTTTTTTATCTTACATGCACTTTAATTAGCAATACGCCGAACTCTAACAATCATGTTACATTAGTTTTACACCGCATAAGGAATTTCTGCTTCATCACACCGGTCATGTTTAATGAGACATCACTAATTTTCTAACAAGTATGTTACTTTGATTTGGCGAGGGTATCGTATATCTAACCCCTGCTATTTCAGCTGAAGTCAGGAAACCGGCAAAAGCTCGGGAACCCCTAAGTCTGACGGGTTGTCATATTTGTTTCAGCGTAAATATCGTCGTAACTGTTCCATTTGTTACCACAAAATAGTGTTGTAATACGAGTTACTTAATGATTGCTGACAATATTTATACAATACGCTTGACCAAGAAACACCGCTAATTCATTTCAATAAGTAACAGGCACGCACGCTGTCGATTGTAATGGGCAACAAAATACAGAATTGTTAGTCACCAGCCGAGACAAATCATGAGTGAAACGTCTTAATGCAATTGCAGTTCCAACCTTCAAGTGAATTTGTAAACGAACGGGTCGCAGTTAACCATCACCTAGTTTAGAATGTCGCGGTCATTTATCTGTAATTTGTGCAGACAACAGTTGCATCTGAAGCGGAAAGTGTAAATGCAATGAGTGCAGAGATGATATTTGGAAGCAACATAACATAAGCCCATGTGATACCTCAAGGCAAAATTACAAACCAAGAAAAGACCACTGTACATCACTTTATAGGGCAGATAAGTACGAAAGGCAGGATAACATGTAACTCAAGTCTAGGAGAAACAACTACATGCCATGTAGGTATGTGAACGATAACCTAAAGGTTAACACTGGTATACCACCACTTAACACGGCCAGTGGCCTAATAACTACTGTTGTCGATGCTGTGAAATCTCTACACCTGCAGTTTTTATCGGTGGCTAGAAATATCACGGACCTTTCTCTTTACCATGTCCCGACGAATGCCGTCTGCTTATTCATTGTCGCCTTTAATCTAGAGGCAGTCGTAAAAACATTGCAGTCTCTCCGGAATAACATTGCCTCGAGAAGCAACAGGATCTGACCAAAGGTACTTGAAACGCTTTCTTCCACTAAACCAGTATACCTTGTAGCGATTTTCCACGTCTGTTTGACTCCCATACACTCCCAGCTGAGCAGAAATGTGGTATCATCAATCCAATATACAAAGGAGGTAAGAGATGGGACCCAGCCAAATACCGACCTATTGCCTTTCTACCTGTTTAATCAAAACTGATGCAATCAGTAGTAACAGATGAACTGACGAGATATTTTGAAGGTTTGCAAATAATTTCCAATGTCCAACACGGTTTCAGCCGAAGGCAATCTTGCCTCATTAACCGGCTTCTTGCTCAGCATTATTGCACCCGAGCAGCTGAAGAAGGAATCCCCTAGGATGTGAGTTACTTAGTTTTATCTATTGCATTCGACGGGGTCAATCACTTCGTTCCCCTGCAAAAGTTTGCTGACTACCGTTATCAACTGTGACCTGCTCACCTGGTTGGAAGATTTGTAATTGGTTGGAAACTAGACGCAGATTAGTGAGTGATCTTAACCTCCTAAATTAACATGTTTCGGTTACCAATAAATAGAGTTGCTCTATCCTGTAGGTTAAGTCAGTCTACCGAGTTCTGGCCATTTATATTCCTTCGCTGGGCTGGACGCGTGACTGTGCATTCAGATAGTCGAAGTCACACAGGGCAACAAAGCAAGCAATACACAATGTTGTCAGTGGCAGAGAGCAGTGGGAACGAAGCAGCGTAATATCCAACGCAAAATCCTTCCACAATGCAAAGAAATATGAAAAAAGACATATGAAAAACACCGGATAGTGTCATCATGACAAGGGTACGCTGCCCTTGACCGACCTTCACTTTTGGACGCGAAGCACCGGTTTATTCAGGGTTACTGTGAGAACCACAGCAAATCGCAAAAGCCGCGAGTTGGTGTGACGCTGCAGATTTTTAAAAAGCAGCGTCTGCCTCCAGCATAATTCCTGAGGTCAATAAGTACCTGGCGATCGAACATAACGGTGACTTTTGTCTACCTGCTGTCTGACTTCCGCTATCTCGCCTTGAAATCATGTCGGCAAGTGCTCCTTCATTCGGGAACTCAGGGTCCTATCAGTTCCGCCTATGTACCAGGCTGCGTATTTACACACGAATTGTCACTATTTATTAGGTGAAAGCAGCAAGAAGAGACATCATTGTGTAGCTGCATCTAATGTAACTCAGGGACAAAGACCTGTTGAGGTGGAGTGCGCTCGACACTTTTTATATCTACAAAGTTTGTCCATGAAATTTTTAAATCCTGACACCGACTTTGCCTCAAGTACTTGCTGCGGCATTTTGTTCCATACATTTGCCACTCTCCTTTCGAAAGACAGTTGGTAAGCAACCCGCTGCAAATCCGGTACTACTTGCTTGTACCAGTGTCCTCGTGTGCTGCTTGGTGTGCGCAGCTGAAACAGCTGCCTCAACGCGGGATAATCACCCAAATGTAACACCCGGTGGGTCATGATAAGGTCAATCCGCAGTCAACGATAAGCTAGGGTGTAAAACCCTAGATTCTTACTTCGGTCTTCGTACGGCCCAGCTGGTAAATTGGGAATCAGCCTGGTGGCCACATGCTGCACTCGCTCTATCTTTTCTACCTTACCCCCGGTGAAAGGATAATACACGGGAGAGTTATACTCTGCCATAGGTCGAAATATTGAGGCGACAGGGCAAGTGTTGATCTCTACGGACCAAGTGTTGAAGCTGCGTCTAAGCGCCCAAAGCACATAAAGGCTGTTTTTGTAAAGCCTATTCATGTTGTCCATGGACCTTAGGTCGTATCGTGAGAATACACCGTGGTCACGCACGAATGGCGCGGGATGCAAATCGGTTGACCTGCCACCGTGTAGTTTCCACTGTGCTTAAACTTACTCAGCCCCATGAATTGCGAATTGACCATGTTGATGGGATGGCTGTGCTCTGCAGATCACGTGAAGATACGGTCGAGGTCCTGCTGAAGCAGGTCACAGTCATTGGATGCGCGGATTACTCTCCACCCCTTCAAGTCAGCTGCGATCAACGCACAATTTGAATGGACTAGCTAAGACACATTTTAAATGGAGCAGAAACAGAATCGACCCTTGTACAGTGCCTTGGGACAGGCTTTGTTGGATGGCTATCAGTCGCTCAAATAGTTGTCGACCTGGACCCTTCACATACGATCAACGAAGAATTGCTTGCTTCATCGGTACAGCGAGTCGCCAACACCACACGCCCTCAGTCAATCGAGGAGCACTTTATGATTCACCTTGTCAAAAGCCTTATTGAAGAAAATGTAAATGACTTCGATCAACTTGCCTTAGTTCAACGCTTGCAACCTTTCGTGCATCCCCAACAGTAGGTTAGTGATACACGTGTGAAATTTTATGA